CTCTCTCTCTCTCTCTCGCACACACACACACACACACACACACACACACACACACACACACACAAACAAACACAGCACTATTTTAAATTCTCATTTTATTTTTGATGGTAATGTTAATTGATGTAATAAGTGTATGGTGTAACATAAAAACAGTTACAAACATCTGTATGCATATTTACATTGTATATTTATGAAAGTAACAAGCTACATCTGTATACAGAAAATACATCTATGACATGAGTTACTGAACTATAAATATTACATCATATATTTAGTATTTTCAAACCATGATAGAAATAGCTAGACATAGATATAAAGCGACAGAAGCAGATCATGAGCGTTACGGGCGAGTCTACGGCGGATGTGAGGCACTTTATCAGATGGAGGAGAATGAAGCCGATGGCACTAAAACTAAACGAGTTCACAGGCTCAGAAAACCACTGCTATACTGCATAATCAAGAACACGAGCACACGACTACAGGACGCCTTTACACGGGCAATTCATAACCGAGAAAATGCGCACACTATGTTATGCATTCCAGAGTCATATTTCCATGAATAGAGAAGAACACAAATAAAAAAATAAAACAGTAGCAGCACCTGATTAAACTGGTAGTCACATGAACGCAATGTTACACGCGAAAGCGTTGCATAATCTGCGAGGAACCGTAGAAATCCAGATTCGCCTCCAGCCGGTTCTCCACAGACGCCAGCGATTCACCAGAAGAAGCAACACAAAAGCGCGGCGAGGGTTAAACCATACTCCATGAATAGAGAAGAACACAAATAAAAAAATAAAACAGTAGCAGCACCTGATTAAACTGGTAGTCACATGAACGCAATGTTACACGCGAAAGCGTTGCATAATCTGCGAGGAACCGTAGAAATCCAGATTCGCCTCCAGCCGGTTCTCCACAGATGCCAGCAATTCACCAGAAGAAGCAACACAAAAGCGCGGCGAGGGTTAAACCATACTGGAGAACTAGATCGCGATTAACAGTCATCCGATTAAATCTTGTGATGCGGTTAGTGATTGTTTCTAGCAGCTTCATAAGACGAGCTTCAAAAACACTTGTTCCGCGCACCATTTACTGTCATCGTTCGGCGATACAAAACTAGAGAGAATCTCCATTAAAACCTCAGAAGTAATTTCCGTCGTCTCCACTACTTTTCAATGTGAAACAATATTAAAATGTGACTTATGTACATAATGCTGTGAAATCAAACCACGATACGTACCGTCACTGTGGGAATAGTGTTGATATGTACAGCCGGAGGTCCGAGCATCTCGTGGAAATACTTGCATAGAAAGTAAACCGTCTTTCTTTCCCACAACACTGACAGATCATCTTTGCACAAAACATCTGATTATTAGTCAAAACAAGATTCGGCATAAACATAAACAGCTTTAAACATGCATGTAAAATAAACACTTATATTCCACCTTGAGAATAATGTCCTGCGTGTTGGATGTTGTTCAGCGATTTAAACCGTCTGCGGTTAAAGTCAGAAAGGAGCTTCTGGGATTATAATAAGTGCCCGCTGGATTGAAAGCATCAGCGCTTTAGGAAACGTGCATCCCGAACACAACGCAGGAGCAAAACAAGAGCACAAGAGTCTGTACCTTAGTGCATTTCTCCGTCTAGTACTGATAGCATCAAAAAGAAAAGGCCACGGTTAATAACTGCACGAAAAAGCCAAGAGCGAAAATCCCTTCAGCGTACATGTGTTAGATCTCTGTACAAGACACGATAGTATTATTATTTCTTCACATAGTTACACGCGACGTGTTGCTCCAGGAGTGCGCTTCCTCCTCATGTCGGTGCGGCGAGGACGTTCCTCCTCACGTCAGGAGCTCCTCCGCTCGGCTCCACCAACGCCTGCGCTCGGCCGCTCTCTCCACAAGCTCCAGTCAAGCGGTGAGTGACGCTTCGCCCGTCTCGGGCCAATGAAAACAGCGCTCAGCCCGCGGCCTTGTGCTTTCCTCCGCAGCAGCGACAGGCCTCTCCGCAGCGGTGGCAGGCGCGCAGCGGAGGGTAGCAGCACATGCAGGGCGCCAGCAAAGATAGACCCAGCAGCGCCAGCCAGCGCACACAGAACTGCTCCTCGCTGACGTCGCAGGAGCATGGGTCCGAGAAGTCTCCCTCCGAGTCGGACATGCAGTGGTACAGCATGCTCTCGGCACACAGCATGCAGCTCACCTTGTAGATGCACTGCTTGATGGGGTCGGGCGCATCGGGGCACTGACCCCGCCGGTTGTCTTCATGGTTGAACATCTCACGGCAGTAGATGCAGCGCGAGCGCTCGCCGTCCTCTCGCCGCCTGCGGGACGCCTTGCACTTGCCGAGGACCGGCTGCTGCGTCTTGACGGAGTCCTTGCCGCCGATGTGCTGCTCCGGGCCCTCGCCGTACAGGTACTCGCACTTCTTGCCATCCAGCTTGGAGAAGGCGGCAGAGGCGTCGGGCTCCTCGCGCTCCGGGTCCTGCTTCCACAACACCGGGTGCCGGTAGTCCTCATAGCCTCGGATGAGGACGTCCTTCCGCGGGTTGATGCGGACGATCTCCTCGTCATCCATGTGAAAGCTCACGTGACGCCTGGTGTTGAAGGAAACCTGCGAAGCGGCGACACAGAAAATGGGTCAAAAGACCATGAACATCAACAAGCCTGAAAAACTGTAACTATCTGCTCTGACAACCATCTGAATTGTGGCGTCATCCTGCAGTCAGTGGGTTTCTGGTCCGTGTTTAACAGAAGCTCAAGATATTTTCAAGACTTTATTCTACTCTAGACAAAAGTGTAACACTCACTCTACAAACATAAATAAAATCTGATATTTCACCCAACTTCAAGGCCTTCACCTGACCTGCTGGCTGAATATGTCATTGTTTTTGAAGAAATAAAGATAAAGCTACAATTGTAGAGTGAGTCTTGCACTTTTCTTCTAGAGTTGAAATTTTTTGATTTTTTAAAAAGATTGAACCTCTTATATAATTGGTTGAGCATGTGCTATTCATGTTTGGTGCACATTTATTCTACAGCATATTTTTTTGCTTTCTCTTGTCTTGGGAAATTTTTTTTTTGCAAAGTGTGTAAATAGGACTACAGAGGTTCTCTTTCAGTCAACTCGCTCGACATCTCACTATGGGAAATGCCTCTTGTGTGGCCATCCATGAAGCCCTGTACAATCACGCCCATCAGGCCCACGCTCTCGGGAAGCCCCACCCCTTCCTATTTAAACAGCAAGACTTTATTCTACTCTAGACAAAAGTGTAACACTCACTCTACAAACATAAATAAAATCTGATATTTCACCCAACTTCAAGGCCTTCACCTGACCTGCTGGCTGAATATGTCATTGTTTTTGAAGAAATAAAGATAAAGCTACAATTGTAGAGTGAGTCTTGCACTTTTCTTCTAGAGTTGAAATTTTTTGATTTTTTAAAAAGATTGAACCTCTTATATAATTGGTTGAGCATGTGCTATTCATGTTTGGTGCACATTTATTCTACAGCATATTTTTTTGCTTTCTCTTGTCTTGGGAAATTTTTTTTTTGCAAAGTGTGTAAATAGGACTACAGAGGTTCTCTTTCAGTCGACTCGCTCGACATCTCACTATGGGAAATGCCTCTTGTGTGGCCATCCATGAAGCCCTGTACAATCACGCCCATCAGGTCCATGCTCTCGGGAAGCCCCACCCCTTCCTATTTAAACAGCAGCACTGGCTCAGTATGGCATCCTACATCTCTTCACTCGTGGCATCCAAGCTACGAGCCCTTGTTTTCAGTGCACTTAGTGTTACTTCGGCAAGACTAAACTGTCCGAAAGACAAGTGACCACTTGTTGTAGGGCGTCAAGCTATCTAAGAACATTAAGTGTATTGAAACGCTTTACCAAGCCCATGAAGTAGATAAAATCAACTTACCAGTTGAATTATGGCTTCTTCCACGAAGTCAAACAAGTCTACAGCACCCTCTCGACCTTGTCCTGGGGGATGTGGATTCACTATTGCAGCTAAGGATCTGGATGTGGTATGCCCGGCGTGTCTGGGCCCGGAGCATGCCCAAGCGGCATTACAAGCGACGATCTCTTGTAATCAATGCAGCAAACTGTCCCGGGGTGCTGCGCAGGAAAGCGGTGTTTGTGCAGGATGTGTGTAGCGATCCTGTACAAGGGAGAGACACAACAGCATCCCTGCAGGAAATGGAATCTCCAATGCCGACAACGAGGTTGGGCTGACCAGCTTATTCCTTTGGATGAGCTGGGGGAACCGGTCGCTTTCGAGATGGAAATCGAGTCATTCCCTAAATTCCTACCGGAAGATGATTCAGTTTCCATCACAGCCTCGGGGGATATGTCAGATGATGGCGAGGAGGAGGATGACCAAGACCCGTTTGCTCCTTGAACGGAGTCCCCTGGTTACCAGCCAGGGGTAGAAGAACAGCAGACGGCAGCAGAGGGTACAACTCTGCATGAGGTTTGCCGACGAGAGTCGACTAGACTGGGCATTGATTGGCCGTCTGCTCTCCCTGCCGCAAAATGCTCGAGGCTAGATGGGAAGTTCCTTGTTCCTACTACCTCAACAGTTCATCAGGCACTTCCACCTTCCCAGGACTGTATGGATGATCTGATGAAATATTGGGAAAGACCACTGTCATCTAGAGTTCCAGTATATGGGTTTTCCCAACTGGATATGCAGGAGATGGGCTGGTCTCACATGCCATCAATGGAGGCATCACTGGCAGGCCATCTGGATCCCCGATCGGTGGTCGGTTATCCACGATCGCACCTAAGCTGCCTCAAAGATCTGATCGTTTCTCTGCATCGATTTTTGAGAAGATTTATAAATTTTCAACTCAGACGGGACGCGCTACTAACGCGATCACTCTTCTGTTGGCTTACATTGCCGAACTGGAAGAGGAGATGACAGGGGCCTTGTCGCAAGGAAAGGACGTCACTGAGCTGTGGACCGAGATTCGCACGGTAACGGATCTCATATTGCGCTCCTCAAGATGCCTTGCTCAGTCCACAGGAAGAACGGTGGGTCTGGCGGTAGTTGGGCAGAGAGCACTCTGGCTGAATTTTTTCCACCATGGGGGAAAAAGATAAGACCCACTTCCTTGATCAGCCGGTAGATCCTAAAGGCCTGTTCAGGCCGGCTGTGGTAATGATGCAGCAGCAATTCGAGGCAAAGAGAAGGGAACAAGAAGCCTTCAGGTCATTTGTGCCATGTAGAGCCCCTATGCAATGACAAACATCACGTCGTCCTGTTTATACACAAGCAAGAGGGCAAGCATATTGGCACGGGCTGAGGAGGGGAAGTACATCCTCATGGGTGGTTGTTCCATATGATCAAGATAAACAATCTCCCTCTTGGCAGCGGAAATCCTTCGCTCAAGCAGCAGCGGCAGCGGCCCCGCCCCCTCCGACTGCGAGGGGAAGAAAGAAGAAACAGGTGGTTTAGCAGATCCCGATCTGTTTCTCACATTGTCTCCGCAAATCCCCCGGAGTACAATGATGAGCATCAAAGGCACTCACCAACCACCGCACATACCCTGGGGTCGAGTAGAGAATGTCAAGAAGCACCATCACACACCTGTTTCCCCTGTGTTGTTGAATCAAATAAAGCAGACTGTTTATGCACAAGAACATTGTGTGGTCTCTTGTTCTTTCCTTCTTCTAAATTCAAACAAGTCTCTTATACAAATGAAAAGAGATTAAGTCACAATACGGTGTTACACAGGCATCCTGTACAAACTGTATTGTTGAAAACACCTGTAATGCAAGTAGAAAGTCTACAGCAGTTCCAGGTTTCGCCACTAGAGGTCTCTCCAACACCACGTTTGAACGAGGTGCGAGATTTATCAGTACACCTAGACCAGGGGTGGCGAACTCCAGTCCTGGAGAGCCGCAGCCCTGCAGAGTTCAGCTCCAACCCTAATTAAAACTCACCTGCCTGTAGCTTCCTAGTAACCGTTCAGACCTTGATTAGCTTGTTCAGGTGTGTTTGATTAGGGTTGAAGCAAAACTCTGCAGGGCTGCGGCTCTCCAGGACCGACGTTCGCTACCCCTGACCAGATTCTCAGTGGTTACTCAGCACGATTCAAAAAGGGTACAGACTGCAATTTGCGAGAAGACGGGATTCTTCAGCCAGTATTTTCTGATCCCAAAGAAAGGGGGAGGAATTCTGCCTATTTTGGACCTCAGAACTTTAAACAAACACCTGAGAAAATACAAATTCAGAATGTTGACACACAAATCCCTGCTCCATTCTATACAAAGAGGAGACTGGTTCACCTCAATAGATCTGAATGATGCTTATTTCCATATTCAGATCCATCCTCAGGACAGACAGTTCCTAAGGTTTGCTTTCCAGGGCAAGATATACGAGTTCAAGGTTCTACCGTTTGGCCTGTCTCTAGCACCCCGCATTTTCACAAAATGTGTGGAAGCGGCACTAACACCGCTGAGACAACAGGGTATAAGGATATTAACGTATCTGGACGACTGGTTAATTTGTGCCAGGTCAAAGGAGATGGCAGATCTGCATACAAAGGCAGTGTTAATGCATTTGAATGCTCTGGGTTTTGTAGTAAACCAGAAGAAGAGCTTGTTAACTCTGACTCAGTCAATAATATTTCTGGGTTTAAACCTAAACTCAGTATCTTACCGGGCAACCCTGTCAGAACAGAGGAGGGAGAATTTAAGGAATTGTGTAGGTCAGATTCATCTGGGGAAAACAGTCTCTTTTCGGCTGTGTCTGAGGTTGCTGGGCCTCATGGCTTCTGTCATAGCAGTAGTGCCTTTGGGGCTACTGTTCATGAAAGATTTTCAGAGATGGGTTGCTGAAATTAAATCCCTCCAGACATTTACACAGACAGGTGCGTGTCTCAGCCCAATGCCTATAGGCACTGCTCATCTAGCAGGACAGGGAATTCTTGATGGAAGGAATGGCAATGGGAGTAGTCTCAAATCACAAGGTGGTCACCACAGATGTGTCCTCACTGGGTTGGGGAGCGATAATGGAGGGACAACCTGTGAATGGGGTATGGACAGAATCAGTCAAAGTAATGCATATAAATTGTCTGGAAATCCTTGCAGTTTCTCTGGCCCTCAAACACTTCATTCCGCAGATAAGAGGTGGTCATGTGTTAGTCAGATCAGACAACACAACAGTGGTTGCCTATATAAACAGGCAAGGGGGAGTCTGATCGAGGAGTCTGCATGCCTTGGCAAAAAGAGTATTGTTATGGAGCAGAAAGCACTTGCTGTCTCTCAGAGCGACACATGTGCCAGGCCAAATGAATATCGAGGTGGATCTGTTGTCGAGGGGGAATACTCACCCGGTGGAATGGAGGCTCCACCCAGAGGTAGTTCAGGAAATATGGCGCAAATATGGTCAGGCAAGAGTGGATCTATTTGCCTCAGAGGAGAACACACATTGTCCCCTGTTCTTCTCACTAAAGGGGATGGATGCGCCACTAGGAATGGATGCATTAGCACATCCCTGGCCAGAGACCCTGTTATATGCTTTCCCACTGATAAGCCTTATCCTCCCCACACTGTCCAGAATCAGATCACAGAGTGTGAGGGTGCTCCTAATAGCCCCGTTATGGTAAGGGAGGACATGGACAGCAAAGATAGTTCAACTGTTGTATTTGCATTTGTGGTGTCTTCCTCAGTGCAGAGATCTCCTCTCTCTGGCAGGGGGGAGGATTTTTCATCCACATCCGGAGAGGTGGAATCTTTGGGTCTGGCCCGTGAAAGGTCTAACCTGAACGCCCTGGGCCTACCTCAGAATGTGATCTCCACCATACAGAGTGCTAGAGCAGACTCCACCAGATCTCTGTATGAGGCAAAATGGAAAAGGTTTGAGGCATCGTGTCAGGAAAGACAGAAGATACCATTTCTTTCATCATTGTCGGACATCCTTACTTTCCTTCAGGAGATGCTAGAAGAAGGCAAAGCCTTCTCTACAATCAAAGTGTACTTGGCAGCCATTTCATTTTGCCACATGGGATTTAACGATGAAACAGTAGGAAAGCATCCTATCGTAAGTAGATTTATGAAGGGTGTGTGCCGTCTGAGACCAATCACCAAACCTATGTTACCAGCATGGGATCTGTCCCTGGTCCTGGAAGCACTCAGGGAAGCCCCTAGTGAACCCTTGGAGCAGGCAGATTTGAAGATTGTCTCCTACAAGACAGCTTTACTGCTCGCCCTAAGCTCTATGAAGTGGGTCGGAGAGTTACATGCATTATCTATCAACCCTGCATGTATCAGGTTTACACAAAATTTTTCCAAAGTTACTTTGCGCCCAAACCCAGCATTTGTGCCCAAGGTAATCAAGCCTGGCTACTCATGTATGGAGATAGAAATTCATGCTTTCCACCCTCCTCTCTCAAGAGTCCCCAAGGAAAGGGGATCTGCAGCACTTATGTCCGATTAGGGCATTAAGGATTTACTTGGAGAAGACACAGGTTTTTAGACGATCTGAAAACCTCTTTGTGTGTTTTGCGAACCCTAAGAAGGGCCAGGCACATCTCACTGGATAGTAGAAGCTATAAAACTGGCGGATTCAGTCAGCTATTACCAGGAAACCTAAGAGCCCATTCTACAAGAGGAATGGCCACGTCTTGGGCGGTATTTAAGGGTATCTCCATGGAAGATGTGTGTGCAGCAGCCGACTGGGCTTCTCATACTTTTGTGAGATTTTATAAATTGGACGTGACAAAATCTGCTTTGGTACAGGCAGGCAAGGGAAGGTAAAGGAGGATAGAAGACTCCTAAGTGCAATGAATAAGCTAGGGGATGCCCGCATATTGGGCGTTTTCTATATCCCATAGTGAGATGTCGAGCGAGTCGACCGAAAGAGAACGTTGGGTTATGGTTATAACCTTGGTTCTCTGAGGGAGATGAGTGAGACACGTTGGGTTATGGTTATAACCTTGGTTCTCTGAGGGAGATGCGTGAGCCATCTCACCAGAGGGCCCATTATTCTTATACTCGGAAGAGCTGTTAAGTATTCCATACTGAGCCAACGTTGCTGTTAAAATAGGAAGGGGTGGGGCTTCCCGAGAGCACGGGCCTGATGGGCGTGATTGTACAGGGCTTCATGGATGGCCACGCAAGGTTATAACCATTTCTGGAAAATTAAACATCAACACAGTGAACAGCTAAACATCTATTTGCTAGTCTGTGTTCATAATCATGGTTTTGTAAACTATTCTAACTCAAACTTTCAAGGACAATGTTCTTAAATAAAGACTGAAAGAGTTGGTGAAGCTTAATGATTGCAATGATGAAGACATGACCGTGGTGTAGCTTGTTTACATTTAGCTTTTTACTTCTGATGATTGTATTTAGGCTTCAAAATTCATGAAAGTTGTGTTCATTTGTGAAGATTATCATCATGGACAAAACATGTAAGAATCAGAATCTTTTGTTGGACAGTTTATTTTCTGCAATAATCTAAAAGCCAATGGAAAAAAAGTCCTGCTGGGTTTTTGTGGAGGAAACCAGGGTGATGCAAATTTACAATCTACAAAAATACACTGTAGCACTGTATTTAACTCAATTTTGGATAAGATATGGACTTCCAACACTTTGAGTATGAATACAGTAACTTGCGTGATGTGGTCTGATGTGTGTGTGTGTGTGTTGTACCTGTGGAGGCAGGAACCTGAACTCAATCTCACACTCACACTCACAATCTCTCTCTCTCTCTCTCACACACACACACACACACACACGCACACACACGCACGCGCACACACACGATCTCACACACATACACATACACTCTCACACTCACACACACACACGCACACACACACACACACACACACACACACACACACACTCTCACACACACACACACACACTCTCTCACACACACACACACACACACACTTTGAGTATGAATACAGTAACTTACGTGATGTGGTCTGATGTGTTTGTGTGTGTGTGTGTGTGTTGTACCTGTGGAGGCAGGAACTGCTGGCTGGCAGTAAGAGCCTCGTCGAAGGGCTGAGCTCGTACGTAAGAGCTGCGGAAGGGTTCAGTGGACACGACACCACGAGAACAGAAGACGTCTCTCACCGGCGTACCGACAGCCATGGTCTCCTGTCAATCACAGCACACTCATGCATTAGCATGACCTACTGTAAAGCTGACCCAACAATGAAAATGTGCTCACCCTCAGGCCATCCAAGATATAAATGAGTTTGTTTCTTCATCAGATTTTGAGAAATTCAGCATTGCATCAGTGTCTCAGCAATGGATGCTCTGCAGTGAATGGGTGCCGTCAGAATGAGAGTCCAAACAGCTGATAAAAACATCACAATAATCCACAAGTAATCCACAGCACTCCAGTTAACATCTGGAGAAGACAAAAGCTGAAACAAATCCATCAAGACGTTTTTAACTTCAAACCATTGCTAAAATATGAGTTTATAATCCATAATAACGCTTCCTGGATTTGTCGATTACTTGTGGATTATTGTGGTGTTTTTATCAGCTGTTTGGACTCTAATTGGGGCAGTCGTGGCCTAATGGATAGAGAGTCGGACTTGTAACCAGAAGGTTGCGGGTTAGAGTCTCAGGTCCGGCAGGAATTGTTGGTGGGTGGAGTGAATAACCAGCGCTTTCTTCCACCCTCAATACCACGACTGAGGTGAGACCCTTGAGGCACCGAACGAAGAGCCGTTTTAGGTAGGCGTGGTTGACTCTTAACTTTTATAAAGAATATCTCTTTGGATTTGAGACTTTAGTCTTTGCAACTTTACAGATCTTCTTTATGCACCAAGAGCTTGTAACACTCCAAAGAGAAAGGAAAACTTGAAATCGCATCATATGACCCCTTTAACTCTTTCAGTAAAATGACAGAGTATTTTGTATTGTAAATCTCCTATTGATGCGGTTCTGCTGTATGATTAATGAATCTTTCAAAGATGATTTTACACACATACAGCAGCACTAAAATCTAAATGACTGATGTTAAAAAGCTCCTGGGCATTAAATGCATCAACTGCAGAAATACATGTGAACCTGAGCAGAGACTGCTGGAAGACACCAGCAGAGGGAGCTCTGAACCGGTGTGACGAGACGAGACGCTCAAACACGCGTGAGTCACGTGTGTGACGCCTCTGACCGCAGAGATCACTGATGATCACACGTCCCGCAGTATTTTGTATTGTAAATCTCCTATTGATGCGGTTCTGCTGTATGATTAATCAATCTTTCAAAGATGATTTTACACACATACAGCAGCACTAAAATCTAAATGACTGATGTTAAAAAGCTCCTGGGCATTAAATGCATCAACTGCAGAAATACATGTGAACCTGAGCAGAGACTGCTGGAACACACCAGCAGAGGGAGCTCTGAACCGGTGTGACGAGACGAGACGAGACGCTCAAACACGCGTGAGTCACGTGTGTGACGCCTCTGACCGCAGAGATCACTGATGATCACACGTCCCGCACCAGACCCTCCACAAGAACCGGCCCATCGCGACATGATCTGACAGCCTCACACTCTTCACCTGTGTTTGACGCCTCACACACACATCAGCGCACCGCGGCCTGTGCCACAGTATGTGACACATGAAAGCAGCTGACGTGCTCACATTACAAGAAACAGAAAGAGGAAATATCACACTGACACTGAATAACACTGTGTGTGTGTGTGTGTGTGTGTGAGTGTGTGTCCAGGTCTGTTTATAACTGTTTGCTCCAGTAATCAATGTCCTGCGGTTGCTAAGAGACGTTTCCTGTGACTTCAGTCTCCCTTCTGAACTTCCCTCACACACACACACACTTAATCTCACTCACACACTCACAATCTCACACTCACACACATATACACTCACACTCACACACACACACACACTCACTCACTCACAATCTCACACTCACACACACTTAATCTCACTCACACACTCACAATCTCACACTCACACACATATACACTCACACTCACACACACACACACACTCACTCACTCACAATCTCACACTCACACACACTTAATCTCACTCACACACTCACAATCTCACACTCTCACACACACACATACACACACACACGCACTCACTCACTCACACACACACACGCACACTTACTCACACACACGCATACACACACACATGCACACACACTCACACACACAAATGCTCAAACACACACTCGCACACGCACACACTCACACGCATACACACTCACATGCACACACACTCACACACACAAATGCTCAAACACACACTCACACGCACCATACACACACACACACACACACACACACAAATATATATACTTACACACACAAATACATACACACACACACACACACACAAATATATATACTTACACACACACACACACACACAGTAACAAGAGAAAAGACAGAGGGAAACACACACACACACAAATACACACACACACTCAAACACACTCACACACACACACACTCACACACTCAAACACACACACACAATCACTGCTCTCCATCTGAATACAGAAAAGCAGATCTGCTGTCTGCGTGTGTTCTGATGGGTCCGGCTCAGACGTTCACACACACATGACAAATGCAACACTGAAATAACACGAGGATACGGCCACAGACGTCCAGCTGACGTGCACGTACACAGATCAGCTCCATGAACTCCCAGCATGCCCTGCGGCGGACAGCAGCTTTACTGTAACACAGAACTCTCCTGCTGCCTAGCAACAGGCGTGTGATTGGGCCTGATCACGGCTGATCTCCACGGCAAAGGACACGCATTTTTAGCTCTTAATCTATGAATGAATCAAACACGACACTGCAGGAGACGGACGAGAGGCATCGCAGCACTTCCTCCTGAGACTCCTGAACCACAGCATCTCTGCAGCGTTATTTTAGTATATTTTATATACTATTACATTATCATTAACATTTTCATTTAGCTTTTGCTTTATATATATATATATATATATATATA